TCTCAGCTCCCGTTCAGTGCCCCCCGGTCTGCCAGGCGCCTTCCGTCGGTATCAGGCCCGTGTCCCGCCCGTCCGTAAGGCCCCGGTCCTCTAGGCCCCTGTCTCAGCCCCGCTCAGGCCGGCTCAGCCCGTCTAGCACGGTACTCAGCCCGGTTCAGCCGCGTTAGCCCCGGTCAGGTCCCGGTTCTTTCAGGCCCGGTCTACGCGGGTCTCAAGTCCCGGTCTCATAGCTTCGGTTCAGCCCGGTCTCAGGCCGTCGAGGCCCGGCTAGGCCCACCTCAGCTCCTCCATAGCTTCTTCATTCCATCTTCCTTCCTTCGTAATACCTCCTTCTTCTCCGATAACTTCATTGCTCCGTACTGTACCACTTCTCCTCCTTGCTCCACACTCTGTTCTCTTATAAGCTGCCTCTTCCCGCTTATAAGCCATCCGCACAATCTTCAACCGTTCCACCACAGCCCGCTCACATCCCCACCAGTCTTTTACACAATTGCTCTGCCTTTGCCGTCCCCGCCGTTGCTCCTCTCCGCCGCGAACACCTCGGACTCGACGTTAAATTAACTCTCCCCGAGTAATAATTTCCGAGCAATACGCAAATCGGAGCGCCTTTCGTCGAGGGGGCGAACCGCGCGGCGCGTGGCCATTCTGTTTCCGTGCTGCCTCGCGGCGGTTTGAACACCGCGTTATTTAAACACGTCTCATGTTCAGAAATCACTATGGCTAAAAAGAGAAGTGCGGCGGAGGCGCGCGCGATCAGAAATGCCAGGCTGTGCAAGTTGCGAAGGCGGGCGAGCCGCCCGGCAGGCCACGGGGGGAAAGAGCCGCAGGCGTGCGTGGAGGAGAATGGTTTCGGCGGCATGAACGACGAAGGCGATTGGCCGGCAGCCGAAAAGTGGCACAGGGCCACAGCTATGACTGCAGTGCTTTGAACCGGGGTGGCTCTCTAGATGAGACTTGAACCGTGGAGGATATTGAGATTACTGTCAGTAGATTAACATCCATACATGTTAATAACACTATCACATATGTCGGAAGATGTCGGTGAACTAGAATGTGCGTGTGCATACTTTGGTGGGAAGATAACTGGTGGGGGTAAACCTGCTATGAGGTAGGTTGGGAGTACGGATCTCGCCATCCACCAGGGGAGGAGAGGCATTTCTGCGTAGGAAAGACATGCACTGCACTACGGACTATAAACTTTGTCAGTGACGCGCCGGAATCACTGAACATCAGAAGTCTGGAGAAATGTCATAAACGCTGAGGAGTCAATGGGAGGAGTTGGGGGGGGGTATGGCGAATGTTGGAAATAGGGATGGCGGAATAGATGATACTTGACGTGAACGGTCCAAGGATTGAGAGGGCGTAGGCGTGAAGCTAGGCATTCAAAGGAAAGAAATAAAGGGAATGTACGGAACGGTAGACTAAGGAAGATAAAAGTGCTAGATACGGGTTTAGATTCACTGCGAGGGGCGATGAAGAATTATGGGAGCCGTAAGTATTTAGAATTTGGGGAGAATGGGTGGGGAAGGACGAGTTTGGGACAAGGCTGACATGGTGACTGTGAAAAAGCAGGGTGTGTGGTATAAAAAAGTGGGATGTTAATATATAAATGGGAAGGATTATGGGGGGCATGCAGTAAATGCATCATTTTCTCTTTCGGCATGGCGCTTTATTGTGACAGCTGAACAAACTATTAGTTAACACGGTCACAAATATAAAAGCCTATTCTCATGGTTCCAGAATAAAATTGTCAGTCGAGTAAAATCTAAACAGAAATGTATAGTGGATTTTAAGATGCATGTAAATTAGAATTTTCACTATCATTATTGGCAGTGTAAAAGTGTGTATACTCTCAAAAAATGTTCGCAAACAACGGAACAAGCAGGCGCTTGCCGCTCCCCCAGCGCCGCCCCTCCCTCCCTGCGCGCCGCCCACGCCGCCATTCCAGCGCCTGCCACCTTCCTGGCGTCACCGAACCTCACGCTGACCCCGCTTGATCCGCCCTCCTTCCCACCCTCCCAGTTCCTCCGCATCCGTTTTCGCTGCACTCGTTTCCTCCCCACTCATTCCCTCCACACTCGTTCCCACTGTCCCTGTTCCTACGGTCTCGGTTCCTCACACCCGTTCTCGCCGCACTCGTTTTCCTCCGCACCCGTTCACACCGCTCAGGTTCCCGCCTTCCGTTCTCGACGATTTCATTTCCGCCGCACTCGTTCCCTCCACACTCGTACCCACTGCCCCTGTTCCTACGGACTCGCTTCCTCTCGCCGCACTCGTTCCCTCCACACCTGTTTCGTCCACAGTCGTTCCCACAGCCCCTGCTCCTTCGGTATCGGTTCCTCAGTGGCGTTCTCGCCGCACTTGCTCACTACGTCCCCTTCCCCATTGTCTTGATTCCTCACATCCGTTCTCGCTACATTAGTTGCCTCCTCACCTGTTCTGTCCATACTCGTTCCCACTGCCCCTGCTTCTACGGTCTCGGTTCCTCACTCTCGTTCTCGGCGCACTCATTCCCTCCGCAACCGTTCCCACTGTCTTGTTTCCTCACACACGTTCATTCACTACACAAGCATTCAGTGAGGAGCTTAGAACTTGTGATTGTGGAAGATAGGTCCTACTATCTTCCACAACGATAAGCGGGGTGATTCTGGAGAGCGGAATCCCTTGCTCCAAGCACACATTTATGCGCGTAGGTCGGCGTCTATTCTCACCATCGAGCGGTGAAGGAATCACCTCCACTCACGAAATAAAACATTCACTACACTTACGGGACAAATGACCAAAGCAATTGACGTGCCTGGAAACATTAATGATCCAACCGATCAGCGTGTTCTTTCGACGAACCTCTTGTAGCAACGCTTCAAATACGGATTAATATCCACATAATATAGAGAAAATGACAAGCATATTTCTTATCGTGCAATGACTTTCGAACTTGATTTTTATTAACGTATTACGGTTCATATTTATTTTTCATAAATATAATGTTTTAAGAAAAGAGGTACGGGTGCGCTGCAGGGAATGAAAACTGTCAGCTTCCAGATATTAACCAGACGCATCTGTAGTAAGTGATAACAGGAATAAAAACTGAATTTAGGAAACCAAAGACTTAGCAAGGAAGAAGGAAGAGGAGAGAAGAAAATTTTTTGATATTTCAGGGAGAGAAAAATATGAGGGAAAGCAGAATAAGAATAAGAGTGGGTGAGGAAGAGAACAAGGAGGAGGAAGATGAGAGATAAGCGAAAATGAGTTAAAAAAAAGAAGGTATAGAAGGTTAAGATATGGAGTTAGATGCGTAGAACAAATCAGTAGGTAAAGAGGAATGGAATATGTATGAAGGTGAGGGGGTTCAACCAAGTATTAGTGAGGAAATTATCGTTTAAAATTGGAAATGAACACGGCGTTGTATGAAGGAATAAAAATACAAAGGTAATATAAAATAGAAGAGGACAAAAACAAAAAAACTCATATAGGCAGATGAGTATGTGAATAAAATTTGTGAAAAACTATATAACAGCTGCAGATGCGAGGAGTGGACGAAGCAGAACCACCAAAGACGTAAGACGAAGCAAGCGGTAGACACTCGCACTCCGCACCGACGAAGAGAGATGACGGTTGCGACCCTTCACCCGAAACCACATCGCTCAGCATAGCATTGTTCGGGGATAGAGATTTGCGAAAGCAAAGAGCAGAGACTCCAAGGCGGGTGGAGGTCGAATTTATCCACTGCCTGGAGGAGTATTATAGTTGCTGGGTGCTCTGATCACTCTCACTGAGTGAGTAGCATTGCTCAGGGATAGAGATTTCTTTGCGAAAGCGGAGTGTAGAGACTCCAAGGCGGGAGAAGGGCGAACGCAATCGCGGCCGATGCATCTGCTTCCACGAAGGGGCCGCCGCGGCCGCCGCGGGCGACGCCGCCCGGGGCGAGACGGTGGCTTCTGGCGCCCTTTTGTGCTTCTTCCTAAGAGAAAACAAACAGCCCCAAAGAGAATTTCCCTCGCCAACGAGCTGCTTTAGAGGAATCGCGAAGGAGGCGGCTGACGGCGAGCGGGACGAGTAAATCTGCTTGTGTTCCGGCGCTTCATGCTCGAATGCCTGATACCGCGCAGCATGTGTAGTTTTGCTTCTCGAAAGTTATTTCACAGAAGCGCTGCAAACGGATTTAGACACGCTTTCTGGCTTTTATTGGCCTCTCTTTTGGATGTGCCTTTTGACGTGATTTGTTAGCAAGGTAAACATGACATGATCTGCTCCCCGTTTCTGAAGATACCTTGTCGTTTTGTGCGTCTGAATGTGAGAGTGAGCGTACGTGCGTATGCGTGAGTATCCGTAGCATATGAACGTACTTGGGTGGTCTCGCGTACTTATTAATTTTTTCTATTTTCAGAAACTGAAAATGTTATATCATTCTTAACCTCAGAGGTGGATCTAAGGGGCGGGAGTTTCAAATGAGGGAGGGAAAATGCTCTTTAGATCTTGAAAACGTTAAGTACGTTTCCTTCCAGTTTTGTTCAAGGGACCGTATTTTAATTTATTGCGAAAAATGTATTATATTAAATTTTATTTTAATGATTTTAGTAAAGGTAATAGTTGAAAGTAATCGTAAATTACGTATTTCAATAAATACAAACTTATCGCAACACCAGTGTGTAACATAAGTAATGCATAATGCGATATAGGGACAAATAAATCCTTCTTGACATTTTCTGGAAAAGTAAATCTTGTTATTTATTTTCAAACGTATTTTAGTTATTTGTGAATGCGAGAATACAATTCATGTGGCCTCTCTAGAAATCAGATCAATGAAAAATGAGACATTACGAGAACATTAGTTTTGGAATAAAAATTATTTATTCAATGTAAATTTAAACTTGTTAGTCCCCCCTCCCCCGCAATGTTTTATTGAATTTGTATTTGCTCATGAAGCTGCTTTTTATATAAGAAGTAAATTTTGTGATTAACCACCAGAAAATAATTTTTGGGCTTTAAGAACTACCTTTGATACATTTAATTCACTAGATACTGCATTCCTAGGTTAATTTGCTCTTCGATATTTTAAGAACTTATTTAAATATAGAACTGAAGCTGATATTTCAATAGAGGGAGATTTTATTAATTTAGAACGATAGCTTCCCAAATTATGTAGGAGTCCAACATGACATTATCTAGTACCCAATTTCGTTTGGATTTTATTTAAAAATATTTTGTTTAATTACTTTTTTAAATCTAGACATTAGACAGTTGGGTATATTTTCATTTAAATTATTTACTTTGTTAAACAAAATTCTTAATAAGACATCTAGTTTTTGAAGTTCAATTCACGGAAATTACTGTTTAATTTTGAGCCCAAAACGCCAGGAGTTATTCTGAGGGTGTAAAACTACTTTTTTATTTGAAAATTTCAACATTCTAATGTGCTACCTGACGGTACTACCTATGTGATTTTCATATATTTACGAATATATGGATGTTGACATTTTTTAATGGATTTGCGATTTTTTGATGGATTGTAACTTGCGCCCAAGACCCAACTAAGATTGTTAACACAGGAAATGCATTTTGTATTTAAATTTGGCATCAAGTTTCTGGTCCGCCGAATATAAGCCCTCCTTGAGTTTAACCGAATGTAAGCACATGCATTTTTCATTAACGCGCGATTTAGATAGTACCTTAAATTTCCCCAAATCGCGCGGATAAAAAGAACAGCGCCAACGAAAAGAAACCGCCAAACGTTGGGACTCCGATCATCCAAATTACACGTGTTTCATTACTTGGCCAACAGATAGCAGCCCCGAGCTCCGGCTATAACGTGAATTTTCGTAGAATTTCACAGTACGCACACTTCGATTTCCAGGAATTCATCGCGACTTTTTGACAAGGAGTTTGATCAATGGGAGAAGTTGGAAGCGAACCTTTCTAGGAGATTTGCTGTATTAGAATTAGTCTTTCTCTGTGCTTTTTTTTACCGCATCAGCGTTTGTGCATTTTGATCCTCCGTGAGTAATTAACTGACGTAAAGTGTTACATTCCCTGCTATTTACACGATTTTCGCGCGAAGTACCGCGATGGGACATGGATGAGCCGCGCGAAATTATAAACTCAAATAGGAAACGAACCACGGACAGGTGCTTTTCTGACCTTTTCCTTAAAATTTGGAATGCTTAAGAATATATTTTCATGCTTTTCTGTGCCGAGAATATTTTTAATTGTGTTATGATGCTGTCTACGTTTAGTGATACATTGATGTTTTCTTGTTTCTGAAGAAGAATTATTAATTTCACATACAAACATTCACATGATATGTCTTCAAAATACTATCCAAAACTTATCGTGCTATTTTGAAGCCGCAATAAAGACAGTAAGGGTGTTTTCGCCTTTGAGATATTTGCTGGTCACATATATGTGTAGTTTTGATAATATATACATAGTATAATTCTAAAAGAAAAAATAACATTTTACATGAAAAATAGTAAAATAGCTTTGCACATTTTTCGTGTAGCATTCAAAATTTATTCAGAGCCTACAAAGTGGTCCAGAGAGACAGGGAAGTTTGAAATGATCAGAAAACGTTTTTGAGTATGCTTGAATTGTGGCATTTTGAATTTATTAAATGTGGATTCGTGAAGTATTCGTATATGAATGGGTCATTGTAACTCAATATTGAATTAATTAATTCATTGAAAAATTGTTGACAGAATGTATTAGGTTTGTGAGAAGCAGTCATTGTGGATTGCAGTCATGGGATATGAGTGATGATATTTCTCATCTTTAATTTGTTCCTCATAACAGAATATTCTATATTCTTCGTAAAATGGAAAGCACGTTATTTTCATGAGAAATCTGTTTGCTGAGAAAATAGAGAAGATCCCACCTGAGCAATATCGGCCACTCAGACCTAACAAAGGTACATTTGTTAACACGTAGATCTGCTATTTATGTGATGTGGTATCCTTGACGTAATTACGTGATGAAATAATTGAAGTCATCTCTGTCAATTTAATTTGATTTATTGAGAGAACCGGCTTTCGACGGCTATGCCATCATCATCAGTTTCGCTGTATGTGACATAAGCCGGGAGAATGTTGACTTTCATCACTTCATCGTCAGATTAGGACAGAAATTGATGTAATTTTGATACGTTTATATCCAGGATTATTTTACTCATCATAATACTCACATGGTACACCGAAGATTTCCGTCCGTCGAATATCCACCGCCCTCAGCCCGGTTGGGCACTGTGAACTCTGGTTTTCTAAGCCAGCGTGCGTGTCCCGTACGCCGTAGGAACCAGCACTCAATTTCTTTAACGAGCGTGTGTGTCTTTGGCTAGCGCGAGAAGGCATCTGAAGGCATCTGTGTTGCGTGTTGCAGAGCGTCCCTGGCGCGCGCCGCTCCCCGAGCCAGCAGCGCCACCGTCGCCCCTCGAAGCCGCTGCTCGTTAAGGTGAGATTAGGCGCCGCCGCCGCGTCTTAAGCTGCCTCTCCGTCTTCGTCGTCCTCCCCTCCCCATTCCGATCCTTTAACCACTCACCCGGGGACGAGCGCGCCCGCCGTCGCTAAACGTCGCCCGCCCGCCGCTAACTCGCCCGCCGCCCCTAACTCGTCGCCCGCCCGCTTACCTCGTCCGCCCCCCGCTAACTCGCCCGCCCGCCCGCTAACATCGCCCGCCCGCGCGCTAACTCGTCGGCAACCGGGCTCCCCTAAACTCGTCGCCGCCGCCCGCCCGCCACCTCCAGTCCACTCACTCACTCACTCACATCGCAATCCGCTCGCAACCGCCCGCGCCTCCAGCTGTGCGCCCGCCGCCGCGCCGCCGCGCCCGCCCGCCCTCGCTCGCCCCGCCGCTCGCACCGCCCGCTCGCAACGCACCGCTCGCCTCGCCGCTCCGCTCGCCCGCACGCTCGCCCGCCCGCCTCGCACCGCCCGCCTCGCCGCCCGCCCGCCCGCCGCCCGCGCCGCCCGCCCGCCACGCACCGCCCGCCGCCCGCCCGCCCGATGGCCCGATGCGCCGCCCGCTCACTCGTTCGCCACCGCCCGCCCGCCCGCCCGCAATGCCGCGCCCGATGCCCACCCGATGCTCCGCCGATGCCCGCCGCTCACTCGTTCCGCTGTCGCTCGCCCGCCCGCTGCGCACGCCCGCTCGCCACCGCCGCCCCCGCGTCGCCGCGCCGCTCGCCGCCCGCCCGGCTCGCCGCGCCCGCCCGCGCCGCCCCCGCCCACGCCGCACGCCCACTTCTCGCTCAAGTCAACTCAAATTCGCCTGCCAACCCTATCGCCGCTCTCATCGCCCGCCCCGCCACCAGCGACACCAGCCCGGCGTCCATCCGGCTGTCGAAGCGACTCTGCGGGATCAACGAAAGCCTCTCGGGCGCTGCCGTCGCAGCCCAAAGCCCCAGCGGCGAGGCTGCTGCACGTGGCCGTGGATCTGGGCTGCTCAAACTGGCTGAGATGGCTCAGGGCAACAGCTGTTGCCACTGCGCCGTCTCTGAGCGGGAGCTCCTGGGGTTAGTGCCCGCGATCTTTCGTTCCCGTTCCTTGTCCTACCCTTCTCCCCTTACACACACTTACACGTACACACACTTACACACGTACATGCACTCTACCACCACACATGCCAGAAGACCAGTCGGAAGCTTAAAACCTGTCGCGTCTATGGCGGTGCTACGCTGTTGGGAGATACCTGGTTATGGTAAACCCTCTAGCTGATGGTAGATCGGCGTCGTACAGCGGGGAAAATTACCATCAACAGAGCAAAATACACGCACTACATTTACGGGACGAATGACAGCAGTTATTACGCCTAGAATCACTAGTAATCAAAAGGTGACGTGTTTCCAATTGTAGCTTGATTGATAGCTAGATACAGCCACTCTTGAGGATAATTCTAGCGGTAAGCTGCTCTGATCGGAAGTTTACCGTTGTTTCTCTCGTCAATACCAGGTAAATACCAGAGCAATTCCTTAACATATGGGCCATTTTTATGACACCCAATGCTACAATTTTCTTCTTCCTGTTTTTTTTCCTCACCTCTTCTTTCCAATCAATCAATCAATCAATCAATCGATCAGGGCTGTTAAAGTGCGCCGCCCCCTTGATGTTCTCTGACTCACTGCTCCTGCACGGGTCACTGATGTTGCCCGATGCTTCACGGCAGCCCGACGGGAGGGGAGGGGAGGGGGAGTGGAGACGCTCGGGCGCGATCAGCTGTAGCCTAGTGAACCGCGAGAGGCATGGCGGGCCACTGCACTGAGGCACCGTGCGCAGTCTGGTCCCAATTCTTGCATTTGAACAGCCCTGATTAGATTACGGCTTGCTGTTGCACGCGCTCGATTTCTGATCTCTCGCGCCGATCCCAACTTGCCACCTTCTCTTTCACTTTATCTATATCCCTATTTAATCTGCGTTAACGTTGCCAATGCGTATGTCATTTTATTCTTCGCATATATGATGGGCGCGGCTCTAGATATTCTTATGTCACATTTTAGACATCAGTAACCTCATGCTACAAACGAAACGCCATATCGAGTTTATTACATTTTATGCGAGCATTGTGATCTTGGTGCAATAAACGACTCTGCTTAAAGAGACATTTATGCTTTACTCTGTGACAAGGAGTCTCGGATTGAAAGCTTTATCTTACTATTTTATCATCAGAATAAACTAGATGTGCCATGGAATTCAATAGTCATGTTTTTCATATCTCACAAATTTCTGATCTCTTTGCATCGTTTTTAAAATAAATTCCTCTATTATTTATTATTTTATACTCTTTCTTTATGGTTTTTATTTCCAGTATTTGTTTCAGAGTTCCCATTACATGTATCTCCTGTACTTAGTTTTATCTCAATTATTTTCTTCCTTTATCTTCCTTTCTGTTTTCTCGTTTTGCTTTCACAGCCTCACACTTCTTTCATCTACTATATCGACTAAGAAAGCCTCTGCTAAGTTGAAGCAATATTGTGATGAATTTTTTGTTTAAGACTCTCCTTAAGAGCACTTAAGTTTTTAGTGTATTTTTCACACATTTCTATCCCAACTTATTCATCCATCATATATTTTAGGCATACCTACTAATCGTGATATATTACATACGCATTTCACGAAAGGATTTTTTCCAGCTTTCCTCTTTTTTCGCAATATTTGTGAGCTACTAGTTCAATCTCAACCATTATAATTAAAAATAAAAATACTTATTAAAAGCATAATACTATTTATTAAGGTATCATAATACGTATTCAATATGTGTTGAATACTTAATAAATATCATAAGGTGTTTACAAGCACAAGCAACGCATGGGTCATGTTTTTTTCTCAAATTTCTTTCTCGCCTTCCGCGCGAGCACTCCCACTCTACAACGCCTACATCACTTCCCCGCACGCGCGACATTTGAATACGAGTGGTTCTCCCTCCTCTCCGTCCCGCGCTCCCCACCCCCGCGCCCGCGCCCCGCCCTGCGATCCCGCTGTAACAAGGGCGGAAGTGTCCGTGTACGCCCACGCGGCTCGGCTCGGCGCGGCGTGTTGTGTTACAACCTCTTTCGGGCCCCTGGTCAAGTGATTCTTGTCGTGTATACGCCGCTGTTTACCATTCACGAAAGCCGCCGCTGGCATAGCTTCCGAGTAAATTGCCCTCGCCGCGCCGTGCCCTTCTGTTCCCGGAGCTACACGCCGCCGTCGCTGAAGAGTTACGGGCAAAACCGTAGATTTACCGGACATGGAGAAGGAACGACAGCTCTGGGGTTATTTTAAGCGCACGTTATCCATTTAACTTAAACGTTTTCGTGCGTTTCTCTTGCGATTTAATTTCGAAGTCTACTGAATTAAATAATTCCTTTCTCATCTTCAGTATTTTAAAATAAATTGGGAATTGCATATATTAGTTAGATTCACTGTTTTATTGGTAATTTGGATGTTTGTGGGAATGTCTTTTTAGTAAGTGTCAAGAGTGCTTTTGCAGTACTTTTGGTTTAAATTTTATTGATTTTAATTTTCTCTGTTTTTTTTCCTATGCCTGCCGGTCAAGCGAGCATTGTGCAGCCATAAATCATTCCGCAATTCTATGTGACACCTCCATTTTGAGCTTTCGTACATGAAGATCCTCAATCTTTGATTCCACATCTCTCAGCGTCTCATTTTAGAGACTCTCAATCTCCGTCTCTCGCTCCAACATGAACACCTAATGTCGTTATTACATTTTCACTCCAACACTCATTAACGCCAATTACTTAGTATTTCACTCTACCTCAGTCTCTCTATCTCACTTCGGTCTCCACTGTTCTTGGATATTACGTTTACTCTTTTCCCCTCTATCGCAGCTTTTAATTCCCTGACTCAATGGTACTTGCATTCCGTCACAGTAACCCAATATTGCAATAGCTCTCAATCACAGTCACACTTAGTTCTTCTCTGTATGTAACTCCCTCCCTCCGAGTCGGACTCACTCCCAAACTCCCCCTTCTCACTCTCAACCTCTGGCATACATGTCTCTCATTTGGGCGCTTCCTCCCTTGATTAGAAGTGCAGTCCGAGAGTTGTACT